TTTTCAAGGTATCTTCTCTTCCAGCCCCATCTTGGTGCCATAGAGTGCAGCTGAGGACTGGTTGTGGAGGACAGGGATGCTTTAAAGCATTCATTCCCTCTTTAGGTTTGTGTCCTTCCCCTGTATTCTTATCTTTGCAACCTCTTAACAGTTAAATCAAAATGATCAGCAATAAACCGGTGTTTGAGTTGGTGCGTGGCTTGGGAGGGTGTTTTATTTTCATGGAGAGCTGAGGGCATGAAGCAGGATTTCTCTTTGCATTAATTGTAATACAGTTTTGACTGTGCATAACAGTGACTGCCTCCAGATCAAACCGATGTTTAGCAAAGGATGGGTTGTGAAAGGTAATCCTTTGCCATGTGATTATTTCATTACCATTCAGTTTTATATAGCACAAGGCAATTCCCTGTTTTTGAGGAAAAGTTCTTGGGTGTTTTAGTGCTGAAGAAGCACCTGCAAGTCCTCACTGCTGTGTTTTGAGTGCAGAGCTGTCAGTGCTGGGGTCTGAACCTGAAAAGCATCATGTCCCCCTTGTATTAGGGGAGGGCAGCGCAATGGAAACAAGTGAACTTGGCCTGGCATTCAGAGTTAATTTGCAGTTTGAATCTAGCTATGGAAAAGGGGTGCAGGGAAGGAAGCAAATTTTTCACGGTGTCAGACCATGGTGACCTGCCCTGGGCAGGGGAACTCATCCAGGCTGTTGAGAGCAGAGTGGGTTGTGATCTGGATTCACGTTGTCCTCTTGTCTGCAGCTTTTGAGCACCTGTTACCTCCATTTGTAGGGCAGAAGTTGTTTTCTGAAAACTCTTATCTACATTTAGAGGAAGTGGAAAGATGGGGAGAATCCTTTTATCCTGCACCATCCTCTCCAGGGCTATAGTACTGCAGTAGGCATTGCTTCTTCCCAGTGAGAAACACAGCAGAGGACCTGACCTTTCCTAAAATCAAGTTAAAACTTTCTCTTGGCCTTCATCCTGCATTGTGAAAGAGCAAAACTGCAAGTGGGTAAGGGTGGAAGAGGGCATCCATGCACGGAGTGCAGTGGGGGAGGGCAAAACGCTGGCTCTACCGCTGCAAAAGTGCTGGGAAATAAATGGGATCTTTTTGTAATGAGCATCTGATGGGAGGGAGCTTACCTGGCTCTGGCCAAATAGCGTTCAGAGTCATAGCTCTGACCACAGAGGGGCTACAAATGTGGGGTTTGAATCGGTCACGGAAACATGCTCTTGTGCTCTTTGCCTTTCCCAGCAGCGCCGGCAGCAGTCCCCACACGTCTTCAGAGCTGGGTCCCGGCACAGCGTAAGAGATCTGCAAAGCGCTTTGCCTCTGTTGCTGGGAGACAGTCGGAGGGAGCTGGGGCTGCTTGAACAAACATGCTTTTCTCCTCGCCTCCTCTCTTCCCTCCCTCCCCACCTTTTTTTTTATCTTTATTTTTTCTTCCTGTTGGTGACTGGTTATAGGAAAAGCTTGGCTGGAACCAAGTGATTCTTGCTCCAAATGATCCCATGAGACTAAAGAACTTCACAGGCTTCCAGATCCGCTGAAGTAAACATCTTTCAGAAAAAGATCCCAGACAGTAGGTACAAGAGCGGCTCCAGCTTAGAAATATACCTTGTAATGAAGCTAATTGACATAAATCTTCAAAGTTTAATGCCCTTAAACTTCTGGAGCTTGAACTGAATTGACCTCAAGACCCAAATTCTGCAGCGAGCCCTCAGGTTGTGGCAGCATCCCAGAAATCCTGCCACAGCTCGGGTTCTGTGCCTGCCTATGGAAGTGAATAAAACAGTCAGTACCAAAGCCGTTGGTCTTATTTGGAAATGAGGCTTGTTTTGCACCATCCCTGTATTTCCCTCCAGTCTTGCATGGCCTTTATGTACTGATGAAACATAAGGGCACCATGAAATTTCAAGGCTTTGCTGGGGAGCATTTGCTGCTTCAGAGGAGCAAAAGCAGATAAAGCAGGTGGTTCTTGTGGAAATGGTGACTGGCAAAAATGTGCATTGAGAGACCTAGGTTACCTCTAGGTTCCAGTCAGTAACCTCTGCTGAGAAATATGAGGCGATTTCATGACTTTTCAGTAATTTCACATTGTTTACAGGCTTGAGCAGAAGCTGCTGCATTGCTCACGTGTCCCTCACGCTCCATCACAACTAATGAGAAATGGAAAAGTTCTTTAAAACAGCCCGTGGAGAGGAGCGGGGCTGATGGACTGAAAGTGATTGCCACAAACACCTCTGGCAGCGGGAGACAGTGCCTTTTAAGAGTCATAACTGGGGTAGAAGAAAAACTCAGGATCACAAGGCAGAGTTTAAATTCAGTTTTTTCCTCTCAACTGGTTCCAGTTTAGCTGATCCCACACTTCGGTTGCTGATACTGCAGAGTTGCTGATTTACACAAGAGCCTTAGGTTAGCTGACAAAAAGCCCCAACTTTTTCTTGCAGTTCTCAAAGCTATATTTCTGGGGCTTCCTTATTCAGCCACAGTGAGTCTAAATAGTAAGATCAGATGACACAATGACTAGCCGTGTAATTTTTATCTGAAGCAACGGCTAGTGATGCGAGCAGTTGCAAAATGAACCACCCTGTCTGTGTTTGATTTTTGTCATTTAAGGGCTGCCTCTGTCCATTTGGAATCGGGATATTTTTGCCTTTTACATGGCCTCATCCTTTTTCAGTGCATCCTTTTTAAACTTGAGTTAAAACACAAAATCCTATTTCTTGTACAGCTAGTTTGCAGTTTTTGATTAAGGTTCTGAATGACTTGTCTTCTGTAAGTAAAACCTTTCATGTTCCAGGCTATCATATCAATTCTCCTTTGTCATTTTTACCCTCCTATGAAACCAAGGGATCTGATAGCTCATCCTGTCACCTTGTTAGCGACTGTTAACCCTTGTGTCAGTGTTTGATGGCATCTGGCCTTTGTCCAAGACCTGCATGGCTCCAGCAGCCCGATGGAGAGCCCGGTGTTGGGGTCAGGTATCTCCCAGCTGTTTTAGCAAAGGTCACATTTGAGTTCTGGTTGTGTCCCGGGGCAGAAGACCGGTGAACGTTTTTGCCACATGTACGGCAGGGCAGCGTGCTGATGGTAGGACCTGTGCATCCAGCGACTTCAAAACCCTTCCTTTAACTGAAATCTCTTTTTAGAACATACTTTATTCAGAATTCAACCACGTATGGAAGAAAAGAATTTTTTTTTTTTCCAGGCTGGTCTTCAAAGCTCCCAGTAAGCTCGCATTAACGATATTTCAAGCCCTGTAGAAGTGGTTGTTTTCGTGGTTTTCTAGGGGCAGAGGATCCACGTCCTTTAATGACTTCTCTATAGATCGCATGAATGCCTTCTCCCTGGTGAGATTTAATGCTACAAGTGCACTGCCTGTCTCCTCCCCACAAACAGGAAGGACTTTATTGGAGATCTGACTTGGCAGGAGCCTTTTAAGACTTTTTTGTTGTTGTTTCACCAAAAAAAGTCCTCGATAGTGGAGCTGAGCTTCAAGCTGCCATCGATTTTGAATGGAAGTCAAACTCCCAGCCCCTCACAGTGTTTCCAGGAGCCCTGATCGCCGGCCGGGCAGTTTTGGGAACTCATGCAGCTGCACCAAGCAAAGCATCATGCTGGGATGCAGGCAGTGCTAAGGCAGCTGGGGGATGAGGTCCAGGAAAACTTGGACTCCTTCCCCAAATCTATCCTTAAAAGACCAGGAAAAAAAAGAAGTTGTGTAAGAGTTGAAGTTTATTTCCCCCCCCCTGTTGCCGGTAGATATATCGGCTTTGCATTCAGCAGCAACCGCTCTGAAGTGCCTCGCAGGAATATTTTCTTGGGATATTTCTGTTCAGGAATCAATCACTGGGGGCTTTTTTTTTTTTAATAATTTTCTGCTTGGTTATAGATTGAAGACTGGGGTAAGCAACCAGACCTGAGCCTCTTAAGTGTCTCATTGCTTTTTGGAAAATAATGGGCTTTACTGCTTTAGATTATGGAAAATTCTGAACTGACTAACTGAGGTGTAATTTGTTAGGTCTTTCATCTTAACAGAATTAACCTAGTAATTGTCACTGTCGGTTTTCCCTCTGCAGCATTGCATTAGAAAGCCTTGATTTACAAATTCTGCTCAAGAATTGTTTTTGAAAAGTTTCTGTTCTCATTTAAGAAAGTATCCTGTAGGTTGTATGAAAATTGCAACTTGCATTAAATTTTTTTTTTGTGGCAAATGCAGTCATTTAAGTGCAACTCTTAAGTGGACTTGAAGACACCATCTCGGGCAGTAGTTTTTACCTTTTTTTCTTAATTGCATGAGGTTTGCCTTGAGCTATTGACTGTGAATTGCTTAAATCAGGGGATGGAATTGTCTTTAGCTCCCTCTCCTGGGTAGTTAAGGCATTTGCCCCATGATGTTGCTGCTTTTGCAAACTTGATCTATTTTCAAACTCTTTCTAAGCATCTCTGCTCTCAGTGGCAGTGGTGAGGAGCACAACGTACATACATGCAGAGGATTGGGAAATGTGATGGTGTAAAAAAACCCAAACCAAATCAAAAATACCCAACCAAACCCAGACTGAGGTGAAGCCAACTTTACTTGCTGCATGCTGTGAAAGAGTTGGTGAACTGCATTTCTCAGGCTTTGCTGCTGGTGAAGGTGGGACTGCATGTTTATACGGGGTGAGCTGAGGAGTTTGGGGTTCCTTTCCTTCTCCCTGATTTTGTGCTCCAGAGGGATGGTTTTGTTGGAGCTGCTTATTTTCAGGCACTGACAAGTTGTGGAAGGGAAAGGCTCTGTGGAGTCCCAACCTCTCTGCATCCCTTCTGAGTCATCCATCCTTACGAAGACTTTTCCAGGCAAGGTGTTAAGGGTACCTTTTCTGGGTCAAGAGGTATCTTAACATCCTTTCCTGGATTTCTTCAGCAGTCACATGGCAGGTGAAATCCCAGGGCTGCCTTTAACTTTTCCTGAGGCTTTATGAATAATGTACCATGTGCTTTTTTTTTTTTTTTATTTTCAGATTGAGAAAATCATGAGTTCCATCGGTGAAGGCATTGACTTTTCTCAGGAGCAGCAAAGGATCTCAGGTAGCGTACCCAGCTTGTGTGTGTCTGTCTTGGTTGTGCTCTGTACAGAAAGAAGGTGCTGGCTCCTGCGTGCAGCTCTTTTTAACCTGCTTTGGCTCCCAGAAGGGAGAGGAAGGCTCTGGCACAGAAGGAGCAGACCTCAGCTTCCCAGTATAATGCTCAATACGGCTACCAGCAGTCTTAATTCAATACTCCCCTAGGTAGATTCATTTAATTTTATATAATGCAGCTGTCCTTGCCTCCCAGCAGGCTTTTGGGGGAAATGGGCTGGGTGAAGGGCATTGCAGCTGGTACCCCCAGCCTGTTGGAAAGGGGAGGGACTCTGATTAATACTCACCCAGTGACAGCAGTGTGTGTGTGTGAGTATAGGGGGTTTTGTTTCTTGTTGAAACTGCCTGTTTATAAATTTTTGGGGCTTAGTATTACTGCTTAGGATGTGGTAAATTTTGAGGTGATATTTTGCATCTTTGAATAGCTTTAAACAAAGGCTTATTGCTGAGAATTGTGAAGTTTTTATTAGTGGTTTCTGATAACTGAAGTGACTCCTTATAGTCCTTCCCTTTAGGTGGACATGAGAGTTGCTGGCTTGTGTGAGTGGTCTGGGATGCTTCTTGTGCTCTTCTGCAAGCTCGCGGCAGTAAAATCAGCTCTGGAGTGGCTGGCTCATTGTCCCTGCTCACACAGCCTAATAACCACTGTGTTCTGATACTTAAAACTTCACAACTAGTTTTTGCTCAATGTGTAGGAGGAAGATCAGGTTTTCTGCACATGCAAAAAAAAAAAAAAAATCTAATTTGCAGCTGAAAGATGGTGTAAGGACTCCAGCTGGTGTCCTAGGGATAGAAAGTTCTACTGATCCTGGCTCCTACAATTACTGTTGTTCTTGACATAGCCTCTAAGAAAGTCGAACTGATTGCTTACAGTTCTCTCCTGTCTTTCAGAATATGTTTGTCTCGAGTTTCTGTTCTCTGATGGATAGCAACAAAATTTTCTTTAAGCGGTCAGTCTGAAACAGAGCTGCTGCATATTTGTCTTCTGGCTGGTCTCACAACCCCCACAACAATCTTGCTTTTGTTTTAAATACATAATGCAGTAGTAAGATGCTCTTTTTTCTGGCTTTTTTCGTTATGTAAGTGTGGGTCTGTCCCTTTGGAAATGAGCAGAACCTCTCTATAGCTCTCCACATTCTAGTATTTTGTTCTTTAAGGCTCACAAAATCCTTTCAACCCTGGGAGGATAGGATGGGAATTTTGTATTTAGAGTTGTACATCAGAGTGACTATAGCCAAGACACCAGATATCCATGTTGTGTCCACGGGAATTCACTCATCCCAGCTGCATGTTCACTGCTGAGCATGTTTGGAAATAAAGCCACTCTGCGGGCATGCTTGGGACCGTTCTCCTCTGGGTAAGACGGCAGCTGATGGGGAAGAGCGGGCTCGGAGCAGGCTGCTGCTGAGGCACGAGGAGGTTCAGTGTACGTTGGGTTGTGTCAGAAGGTGTCCCTTGGAGGCTGTTGGTATTTCACAGATTAAGGAATATTTGCTGGGGTCCAGGAATGCTCAAGCAAAGACTGTGTGGTCCTGCTCAGGTAGTTTGTCTTAGCTGGAGTTTAGTCTGGTTGCAATAGAATAAGATGTAAAGAGCAGCTTTTGCCACCCAGTCTCTAAAACAAACTGTCCAGAGTAGCTGGAGTGTTGCGGTGATTTTCCAGGAAAGCTACCATTTTTGCTGGAATATTTTAACATTTCTTCTCCAACTTTCTGCCTGTAAAACCCTAAATGCCCTATTGTTGCTCCAAATCAGATAAAACTAATCACAGGGGTTTTTTCTATATATTTCACCTACATACTTCTGTGACCTTGAAGTATGTAGTTTTATTAATTTTATAATAAAACTTTATAAATAGTGTGTGAGATTATGTAGTTGTGCATTTTGTCTTTGCTTTTTCTGATTTCCATAAAACAAGGTGAAGAAGGAATCATAGTGTCATTTAGTACATTGATTTTCCTCAAACAGAGCAACATCCTCCTCCAGCCATGTTCGCAACTATTATAACTCTTATCTCCGCAATGCAGCATCAGAGCGATGGGAGACGATCCTAGGTTAAAACACTCATTTCCATAAATGTTATAAGTGGAGGCGGCTGGGGTGTGGGGAATAGCGAACCCTGTGCCGAGTTTGTGTTTGGGATCCAGACTGGAGCAGCAGGGAGAACTAAGTCTCAGTTGAAAATCTTCCTCCATTGCTCCTGCAGCGACCTCATTGCATGCCTTGGCACTGCACATCAAACAGGATTGTTTTGCCATTTTACCAGCTTTTTTCCTATACTTTTTGTGCCGCCTTTTGTGGAAAGTAGATGTGAAGGGGAGGTGGAACTAACAGAGGAAGGATGCTTTGATATCAGTGCAAATGTCCCTAGACGTGTCTCCATACTGTTCGCAGAGCGGGGAAATATCCTACCCCTTTCCCCTTTCTTAGCTGACGATCTCAACGCTTCCACATTTCCAAGCTGCTCAGGAGGTTTATTTTAATTCTTCTCTTCCCGGGATGCAGCTTCACTCTGGAAACCAGCAGTTTAAGGAACCTGTCCTCTCCGCTGCTGCAGGCAGAGCCATAGGTCCTCAGGAGCGTCGTCTCCCATATGGAGCCAAGTCCATGGCCTTCAAAGGAGGAGATAATGGTTTGGCTTTAATGGTGCCTTTTGAAACAGAGCTGTTTGTAGTGAGACACAGCATACAGAGCTTGATTAAATGGATGCCGATGAACTCTGCTGTCTGGGGACTGAAGGTGCCTAAATGTCGTGTACTGCCCAAGGGTTTTAGAAAATCTACATCTTGAAAATGTTGTCGTAGGAGATGCTTTCTGATGGTGAGACCAGTTCAGCTGTGGCAGTGCTGTCCTTTGGGATGCTTCCTGGCTGACCAAGTGCCGCCATCCCAATAGCCGGGAACAGTCCTGCCTGTTCGGGGACATGGCCTTCTCCCAATGCCTCTTAGATTTCTCTGGGGGGAGAATCGTCCTCCCTAGCTACTTCTGTTAGGGCAGTGGCTGTGCTGAGAGCAGGACTGGGGTGATGCCAGTTGCGAGTCAGCACCAGTGTCATGGTGGATGTGCCCTTTGGATGTGGTTAATCTGCCACATGCCTCAACTTAGGTGATGCTAGGCTTTTTGTGAGTACACCTGTAGGTATCGATATCCACTGAACAAGGCTGCTTGCAGGACACGTGCTTCTCCCCTATGCTTTAAGCATGAGTTCCCTTCTCTGCCTTTAAATCAGGAACGAAAACAAAAGCAGAACTCGAGCTTTTTGGCCTTTACTGCAGCGTGATGGAGGATGCTGGAGAGCTGCCACTGCGAGGAATTCTGTCCTTTTAAATCCTTCACCTCCAAACTGCTGCATCTGAACTGCTCCGGGTGGGCAGTGTCTCCTCCTGATGAGATGCTAATATGTATCTGCACACGCAGCTCACGCTTGCCATAATAAAGCTTGTCTCATATCCATTTGTCACTTGGGTTTTTGCTTTGGTGAGGAGGAATCCACCGTGCATTCCCAGTGGGAGTTTAACCTGTGCCCGCTGTAGATACTATGGTACTGATTAAGGCTTATGTTTTCTAGGGTCAAATGGCTTTGCAGAAGGATGCAAAACGGTGTGTGGTTTTTGGTCTAATGCAATGGCAACTGTTTAGCATCCTGCTTTATGACAAGCCCTCCCCTCCCTGAGCTGGTCCGTAGCTGTAGCAGCGTGTGTGATGGATCGATATCGTTAGTGAAGAGGTCTAACATGGAGGGGAGAGGAGGAGCCAGCACTTCAGCAAAAGCTGCCATTGTGCAGGGAGTTTTCAGCAAAATGGACACCCGTCTCTGGAAGCAGACGGACCCAGGAGCTGCCTTGTCCTTAAGCTGGGTGTTTTCCTGCAGGCTGTGCTGTGTTACGCTCGGTTTGGGATCCCTCATACACAGATCAGCTGCTGTACATATTCCCTGTTTCTCCTTCCTTTCCTATGAGCACAGCTAGCCAGAGAGCAGGCAGTGCTTTGCCAGCCCCTTGCTGTGAAGATGAAGGGTGTCCTGGGGTGTATGCACCCTTACATTTTTGTTTTCTAGCAGCATTTAGCTTTTGCTCCTCAGGGCTTTGTTAGGGCTGTTTTAACGCTTCAGATCATATCATAAATGTGCAGGGAGCTGCAGGGAACTTTCCAAATGCTCTCTCATCCCCAAAAATGGGTGGGCTTTGAGAACATTGGGGCTCCTGGCTAGTTTGGTGTCTGGAATCGCTAATTTGCCTAGAAAGATAAAATGCCTTGCTTGGCAGTTACTGCAGAGATAAGTATGTTTGGAGTCTGTTTATACAAGCAGTTATTACATACAATTGACTTGGGTCTAGGGGAAACAGGGACCCTTGGAGTCACGCTGGAACAAGCTCAGGCCCCGAGACGCTTGGTTTCAGGTCCCTGCCATGCCCCAGACTTCCCATACAAATTTGGGCAAATAGCTGGTTTCTGTACCGTAAAGCTTTCCTCCATAAAACAGGGTGACTTCAGTGTCTTGTCATGGTGTTATGGACGAGCACATTAAACTTCTGAGGCCCCTGGATAAGATAATTAGATGCATCCTGGCATCTTTATAGAATTTGGAGCTAGAATCTATTTCTTGGCCAACAAGTTCGACCCTCTGATTTCCTGGTAGAGCTTGTAAGAAAATCTTCCAAATGTATTTCCTGAGGGTGGGGTGGTATAGGTGAGAGGAAAGAAGTCTATCACTGATCCCTGTTGCTAAGTGCTTTTCAGAGGTTGGGGAATCGAGGAACACCATCTCTTAAAGGATTCCGGATTCCACCTAACCTTTGCCGTAAAGGGGTTTTTGGCCTGGGAACAGACATTTGTGTTCAGTCTGTGTCTTTCTGCATGTGTGTTTTGCAGTCACACATTTATTTAGCTCCAGCAACCCACTTCTGATCATCTCTTCTTTGCAGATGTGAGTCAGAGGGGTAGGGGAGTACAGGTCTCGCAGCAGAAACTCAACCCCACTGTACTGCAGCGTCTCATCTCGCTGCTGGCTTTGAACAAGAAACCTGTGTGTTGCTCGCTGGGTTACGGTGATTTGTCTGGCAGTGTTTCTCTCCCCCAAAATACAGGAGATGAGTGGTCTCTGCTCAATAAATCAGCTTGATGCAGGCAGGAGGCATGCTGCACTGGACAGGGAATGCATTTGGGGCTTGGTGAGTTAACTCTGCAGTTGACTTGGGATGTGAGGAATGTGCTTGGTGTTTTACTTGACATGAGAGGGAGAAATTTGTTAGCAATCTGCATTTGGCTAATTGATCTTAGTTCCGGTAAAGTTGGATGCTGGCTGTATTTCTTGCATCTGATAGCACTAATGACTACATTCTCCTTGCCTATCCATCTTGCCTAATGCACTGCCTGAGTTTATAGCCCCCACTCAGTGGGTTTAAGGACTTCCAGCTGATGATCATCCCCAGTTGTAGCCATAACCGCCTGACTTGGTTCTCTTGCATGCTCGCTTTGTGCGTGGACAGTGGTTTCATCAACACTTGTTTGGAGTTGCGTTTTGTCTTCCAGGTGAAGCTTGGTCTTCTGTCTTCAGGCCACACCAGGTCACGTTAAACTGTTATCTGTTTCCATGAGCAAACAGGGTGATGCTTTTTGTCCGGCATGGCCCACGTACTTATTTCGTCCTCCAAACAGACTCAAACATTGCACTAAAGGTCTTTATTAAAACAATTAACTTACAAAAGGACCTTTCTGGATCCTCATAGTCTTCTCCCTTTCCTGTTTTCTTGGAAGCATGCTGTGTTACTTGAAAAATGTCTTGCAAGAGGAACTGAATGGCTTGGCTTGCTTTCTTTGCAACTTTTAGATACTCTAACTACACTCTATTGACTGTTTCCCCCTCTGCCATCTGGAGACCTTTTAAAGGTAGGATTCCTAAAATGTGGAACGTAAGGAGAAGGATGGAGTTGAGAATTAGGAGTTTGTTTCAATTAGAAGTTGTGATCGGGCTCTTGCTGGGGGCACAGTGACTGAGATTTGCTTGTTCTTGTGTCATCCTTGTAACGTGCAAATATCGAGTGTTTTTTGGGCTTCTCTGTTTTCGGACAAGGATGTTTTGGGCATCTGTTATCTTCTTTTTCTTTTTAAAGTAAATCACTCCATTCCCCTCTCTTCAAATACCTACCCCCCGCCCCCCTTCATTTTGTCTTGACTTGAAGTGGATTTAAAAACAGAAAACCTGCACTTGGTGTCACTGTGGGTTTCCCCTTTAAAAGCAGGAATACATTTACGAGTGTACAAAAGGCTGAGTCGAGTAAATAATTTTTTTTAAACGAAATTCAGGAGCTCAGAGGAAGGAACTGCTGTGGTTTCATTCCCCCGCCAATACCCTGACTGCCTCCAGAAATGCTGTAGTAGGCAGCAAACAGTTCCCTCACCTCTCTCTCGACAAATTAAATATGAACCAGCCACAAATCACTTAGAACTGTCAAAGCAGACCTGTAACATCATTTTTTGAAACCCAAGCTGTGTCGTCCATCATTGAGTAAATATTGAGAAGTCAGTAATTTCCACTGGAGAGTTATAAAGCTGCTGTCTCCCTCCCCTCTCCTGCAGCTTCTGCTGCGAAGGCTGCTCACTGCTTCTACAGTGGATGGAAAAGCTGGGAGGGGTAAGAGGATGAAGAGAAGGGAGGGACAGGCAATGCGAGAGCAGGAGACAGGACTGAGAGTGGAACGGCAAGCGTGGAGCTCGCTGCCTTCAGACAAAGCACGCCGCTGCAGCGCTCTGCAAGGACGCACAATTGCTTGGTGAGGGGACACGGCTGCCTGGCTGCTGGCGGACCAGCGAGGATCGACGGGAGGGAAGGATGGAGACCCTGGGCGAGCGGGAGTTTGTTGCATAAATTCCAGGTTTAGATGCTGCTCTTCTGCACAGGCTGCGTTAGGGGAGGGAGACGGAAACCTTTTGTGATCTCTGCGTTTCTCGTGCTGCAGTGTGCACTAGAGAGACTGGCCAGCTCTCTCGAACTCGCCGAGCGCGGCTCGCCTGGCAGAGGAGCTCTTCTGTGGACCAGAGCAGCAGGATCCCTTACCCCAAGAAATTCCAGATAACACCGTGAGCTCTGCGTTGTGCAGCCATTGCAGCGGGCGGGGGTGGGAAGGATGGCTTGGAAGGTACCAAGCAGCTTCAGCTGACCTGAAGGTTCAAAGAAAGCAAACTTGCTTTTCCTGATCATCTTTTTATTTGCATATACCCTTGAAACAGATGTGCTAAGAAGCCTGCAAAATTCTGCCTGTCTTGCATAGCAAATTTCCTGATGAAAAGGAGATCTCTGAACTTTTTTTGTCATATCTAAGGTCTCAAGCTTTTTTAGAGGAGAGTAACAAGTCACTGGACTCTCCTCCCAGGGGTGAGGGAAGGGAGAGCTTGCCTGCCCAGCTTCCGTAGGGTGTTGGGAAGAATCTCTCTTATCAGAGGCTGAGAGGAGGTGCCAGGGCATGTCTTGAACTTGAGCTGCTGCAGGAAGAGGAGAGAGTGTGCTCGCATTTAGTTTCTTCTTGTTTTGACTTGGTTTAGAAGCAAGGAACTAAAATGCCTCCTCCTCCAGAGCTGCTCCCTGTGTGAATGAGGGGCTCGGATGCAGCAGCTGCACTTAGCTGAAGAAAATGAAGGAAGGGCAAATACAAGCGTGCACCAAACACCTAGCAGGACTGAATGTATTGGGTGAAAACTGTACTGATTCCTCGGTCTCTCTTGCTGTCACCCAGTGCAGCAGTGTAGTTAGACTCTCCGGTGCAGCCAGTCTGGTCTGAGCAGCGTGCTGAAATGCCATGCATCCGGATAGGTGGTAAAATGACAGTGTCAGGACTCTCAGACTCATGCTCGGTGTCTCTCGCGCCTCTGCTCCTCTTAACACAATAACGGCGAGAAAAAACCCTTACCATGGTTTGCCTCTTTCAGGACTGCTTGGGGAAAAAAAGTATAAGCCCTTCTTTTCTTCTGCTGCAGTTTGTGTGCTTTCTTTGTCTTGCATGTCTTCCTGTGGACAGCTGCTCTAGCCTGGCTTCTGCTGCTTTTCTGAAAGTCCGTCGTGTCTGTTTTGTGTCTCAGCTGCATGAAGATGTATTTTCTCCCTAGCTGCTTTGTGCCTCCAATGCGCCTGGCCCTCTCCGCTGGCCCGCTGAGCAGGGTAGTGCATCCGAAGTTGCATGGATGAGAGGACCTGCACAGCTCTGTGCGTTTGTGAGCGGCTCCGCTCCATTCCCTCGCACCTACGACTGGCTGGGAATGCCTTGGGTGAAAGTTTGCTGCCCTCCTCCCGCCCCCTTCAGATGAGCCAAGGAGTGGATCCGCATCCCTGTGGGGCTGGGCTTCATATGTTTGCCTGGCAAGAAACTCGCCTGAGCCCTGAAAGCAGTGCATGTGATGTCATGGTCCCAGGAGTGCTTCTAAACAGTTTGCCCGGGCAAGGTGTTTCTTTTTCTGAGTGTTAACTGGGATACAAATTGAACCCGGAGCCCGCGGAGGCACTGGAAGCTTGTTGTCCATGGTCTGTGCACACAAGAAGAGTTGTCTGCCAGCTGATTTGTTGTACTCTGAGCATAATTTTTTGAGTTTCTTTATGGTAATGACTATGATGTGGCAATGCCATCTGTCTTCCTCAGAGTGCCGCTGCTACCGCCTTAACGGTTTTTCCCTTTTCAAGCGTCTGCCGATTCCTCTCTCGTCAGGTTCGCGGATGCTGGAGCAGAGTGTCGGGGAGTGGCTGGAGTCCATTGGCCTGCAGCAATATGAGAGTAAGCTGCTTTTGAACGGCTTTGATGATGTCCGCTTCCTGGTAAGTTGCTGGGTGGGACCCACAGGCTCTAACAAATGTGTTGGCCAAACCTTTACTTGTTATCGATATCCCGTGTCCGCTGCAGAGCACATCTGGGTTCTGCAGCCCAGCAGAACAGTCTTGCGGATGTGTAGAACGTTAGACAAAAGGAAGAAATTAGGGTTGTGTTGGGTCAGGGTCATTCATCTTCACGTTTAATGTGGGTATTATAGTTTTTTCACTATACATTTGTTATAAAATTTTATTTACTCTGCCCCCTAAATCTTTACTATCCAATTTACTCCAGAAATGGGAACTGAAATTCGTTAGTGTTTTGAAGAAATCACTGAGCAGTCTGTGTTCTGGACTATGAAGGAGATGGAAGACCTCTTGTTGGAAGTATACTTACTCTAAGCATGCAGGCAGGATGTTAATGAGCTGTACCTAATTGCACTGACACCGTTGGCTCTGAAACCTAATGATGATAATCATTAGGTAATGCTTAATGTTGAGGGTTTTTTTTAATAACCAACATCTAGAAAGTTAAAGTTGCATGGTGTAAAAAAAATCTGAGAATTCATATGGAATGATGAACTGCAAAGATGGAAAATCTTGGTGCTGCAGGAGGGTTCTTCCTGCATGTCTTAAAGAAACGCTTTTTGAGTATGGACTCCAAGTTTTGCAAATAAAGAATTTCTAAAAATGGGTGTAAAACTTTGGAGAAGCCATTCGGGCTAATGTAATATCCTGCATTGGAAAGGCAGTGAGGGCATCTCTTTGGTACTGTGAATGGTACAGAGAGGTGAGATGCAGGAGGATGTGTGCCTGACAGCTGTGTTGTGAGCTGGGTGAGGGGGTTTCCAAAAACACGGCAACCATCCGACAGTGGTGAGGGGACGTGCAGGGCAGCTGGAGAAAGAAGGGAAGACTGGATAGGGCATGGATGGAGGGGCAAGAAAGCGCGCATCTGAGCAGTGTCAGTAGCGGTACTTAAAGGCAGGATGTAATTATGCTTTTAAAAAACAACCTGACCAACAGGATAAATGTCCCTGTGAATGTTGTGGGATCTCCAAGCAACCCGTAAGTTGAATACTGTGGCAGCATCCAGCCATACCTCCTGGCCTCCACGGCAAGCAGCTTATGCCCTTGTCTCCCCTTAGCCTGGCAGGGCCAACGCTCCCCCAGAGAGCTGGATTTTACTGTGGTTTATGCACCTTCAGTAGAGGAACTGTCGGCGACAGACGATGGTCTTGCCACGCACCCTTCTACCTCTGCCGTATCCTGTTCCTACGGCTGTGTGTGGCACCTCCCCTCTTCCCTGCGGAGGATTTGGGGTGAGCTGCCCCCTGTGCAAGCCCTGGGCACCTTCGCCGGGCTCCAGCACCGCCCGCAGCCTTGCAGGGCCAGGGCCGGCTCCTGTCGCGGCTCCCCGAACCCATCCCAGCCCTTCCTGGGGGTCTCCGGCCCCCGCAGTGTCCCACCCAGCTGGTCCCAACCCTCTGGTGGACCCTTGACCACTGGGACTCCTCTGTGCTTCAGGCAGGTGTGTTCGGCTCTGCGCGAGGTTTCAGCGTCCCTGCGTGCTGGGGCGGTCTGCTGCAACTTCTGGGATGCTCTGGAGATGGTACAAGGAATTTAAATGAAATATACCCCATAGATCCCTGCTTGGGATCCTCTGCTGATGGGTCTTGACCTTTGTGGTATTAGTGGGCAGCTCTCGCTCCAGCAGTTAGCAGATAAAAACGCCTTTACTCTGGCCCTGCCTGACAAGTGTGATGATAGACCTTGCTCGGCACAGAAGGAAATTAACTTTCCACTTGTCCCCAGAGAGGTAGGAGCTGAAGGCTCAGAAGCAGGGATTTTTATTGACTATGCTTAATTGCAATAAATAGCAACACTTAGTTGCGAACTGTCTGATGCACAATTTTGCCATTTATAAGGTGAAAAAAAAAAAGGTTCCTTGTATATGTCTCAGTATGTGATTTTTATGGTGTATGTGGTAGGAATTGCTTTTTAATATTGTTCACGGCTGGATGTTTTTCTTCCCTATCCAATGCTGGGTAACTGCTCCCAGTGTAGGAGATCAGCTTCTGCTGGTTTCAGGGAATGGGCCACTCTCCTTGCTCATTCTTCTCAAATTTAAAAGGTGAAATAATTTAACAAAGATTTCCTGCAAGCCCTGGTGGATTTCCATTTTGCTGCTTATCCCTTTTACTAGGAAGTTGACTCTGGCACCCATGCCAAGACTGGCTTTAAATCCTTTCATCCAAGTCCTGGGAACTTCAAGCTAATACAGTCAGCCCAGTATGAAAGTTTAATTATTAAGAATCTTTTCCTCTGTGGCATTGCTTGCCTTCAGCTTCTGATGTTGTTGGAGTAAAACCTTCAGATATAGGACAAATGAGGAACAAGTAGTTAATTTGTTTTGAGTAGTGATTTTGATGTTCTTAGATGAATTATTAAAATTGTTGTAAACACTGAAGCTGGCTAGTGCAGCGAGTACTGAAAGGACCTGGTTTCTTGGCTCCTGGCATGGCAGGCTGTCCATTCCTTTTCTTTTTTTTACATAACAGTTTCTTTATTAACTGCCACTTCCAATCGCTAACGAAGAATATTTCAAACTAAGTGGCATTATTTTCCTAGAGTTAAACAGTTTCTGTGAAAGGATTAGTTCTTATTAGGGCCTCATTATGTTAAATATTTCAAGGTCCAAAGAATGCTGGGTAGTGGTTTGCAAATTGCCAGATGGGCTATGAGGCTAATTAAGTTTTAGTCGCAAAAATTAAGAAGTTGGAGTCTTTTGATACGGAAACATTTTCCATGTAAGGTTTCACATTGCATTACTCCCTGCATATAGTGCTGCGGGGTTTTTTCAGTACGCCGAGGATGCTCCCTTTGCTGCCTGAGTCCACAGATGCCCATTTGTGAGCGAACAAGCGGCTTGTACGTTGGGTAGACAAGAAAAGCATTGCAAGAGCAAGCTGTTAGATGCGTAGTGATAGTACAGCTGTAAAACAGGGGCAGCGTCCTAGAAGAAGAGCTCTTTAATATGCTTATGAAGAATACTCAGCCTGCAGTAGATAGTAACTTAAAGCAGGATTAAGAAAACGGTCTAACAAAGAGCATATCCTGTAACCGCAGTGGGGACTGGGTGAAATCCGGTGTTTGCTGGCACAGCGGCGTTTGGTGCTGTTCTTAAGAAAAATAGATGTTTCAAATGTACTGTCTACCCAGTAGGTAGTACAGAATTAGTAAGAGACAAAAACTGGGGGGTGCAGAAGCTTGTCTGGTGCTTTTTAGTGCTTTGTAGCCATGCTTCAGCCAGTTCTGGTTTCAGGGATTCCTGATTTCCTGTGTATTTTCAGTTGGCTCTTGTGTTAATTTGCACCCTGCATTACCAAAGCCCTTACCCCCCAGACAAGGGAAATGATTCATGAACGCACAGTATGGTAAAGTGATTTTGAAAAGTGCTCTGTAAATATATTGGGCTTCTTAATTAGATGTTAATCTAGGAAGGCAGAAACATGCATTGTTTCCAAGAATAATAATTCCATTATTTTCAGAAATCCAGAGATTTATTATTAGGTGATTAGCTGTGCTCTCTGGACATGCGACCAGTCATCTTGCTGATGATAGCTCTGTGCAAGCTGCATCTCCAGCAGCACCAAGGAGAACCGGTGAGTGGGAAGGAGGCAATAATCCTGCTCCCTTTCTCGGGGTCTGCTTGTACGCTTTAACAGGCAGCATTGACAGCTGAAAGAGACTTTGGAGACCTGCAGTTTTCACAGGTTCACGTTGAAGAGGCAGGGTTGGAGATGTAAACCATAATGTGAGCCATGAACATTTTACAGGTTTTCCTATAAAAAGGGAAGTTAGAAGTGTATTTTAGCAGATAGCTAGGGTGGGCTGTGAATGTTGAGCAGAGGCTTCTCTGCTCTTGAGAATTCCAGCTCTGCATCTGGGACAAGGTTTTAGTAACTTATAGCTGGAGGCCTCGTGCTTCAGCAGGACCCCTTGCCCACAAGCTTGCAAGATCAGCACTTTAGTTGTCAGCAAACTAAAAATTTCTGTTGCAGTTCAGGTCTGCCTCGGTAAGAGAGTGATGACCGCAGTCAGGACTGACCCTCCTCGTGTGTACGTGTCTCTACCAGTGCTGTTTCTCTTTTGGGGGAATTCAGGACAAATAATAGAGTATCACTTGTAGTACCGGTTGGTTCTGAGTGGTGTCAGACAGGGCTTGTTGGGAATATTCTCACTTTTGGAACTTGCAGAGATTTTTGAGGGCTTGTGAATTGGTTATCAGGGAAGAACAAGTCAAAGCAACCATGGTAAGAAGGGAATCACAGGTGTTAATGCATAAATGCAATGACTGTCATCCTGCCTGGACACAGCTACTAGGTATTTTAGGGACTGGAGCTGGGATGGGACGCTGCAGACAGGCTGAGTTTGCAGCGCTGGCCTCACTGGTGTGTTGCTTTCTTCCAGCACTGAAAGCAGAGTTTCTTGATCAGTGTTTCTGTGATATAAAATTCTTTTTAAATCTGCAGAACAAAACAAAATGCTGCAGCGTTTGATATGGCACGCAAGAGCATCTTGGTGACGCTGACCGGTTTCACAGTCAAATGCAAAAACAAGAACATTTATGACTAGTTCAGATCCTGATCAAGTATTGACTTCAGTCAAGGGTGGATATTGCTAACACAAGTCAGCAGGATTATTTAAACATCAGTTTGACGTGACGTTAAGGCTTACTTGCTGGTGTATGCGTTTCTAGGAAGGGACTGAAGTCAGATTGTGTGTAATCTTTTGGCTTGGTTGAGGGAAGAAATAGGCTATAAAAGATGGATTTAGGTAGCTTAGTTTTCTAAAAGACTGAGTTCTCTTTCCAAATACTAACATCTGCATATTGGGCTGCATTTCTGTGTCAGGAGAAATTCTTATATTCCCTTTAAGTTGCCCATTGCTTTGTTGTGTTTATGGGCAATGTTAGGAAAGCGACTTTCCCTGTTTTTCTTGCTGTT